GAAGAGGAAGACAAAAGATCCCAGGCGGAAGGCCGGAAAAAGACCTCGACGTTGCTTTTTCTCACACGCGCAACCAAGAGAGGACTGTGCTAGGACCCACCACCTACCACCCCACTTTACTCTCCTAAACTACATTAAAGCGGGTGTGGGTGGGAGGTGGGGCTGGCTTCTTAAAAAGATACAACACGCCCTCCATTAAGATTCTGCACCCCCCCCGGGGGTGCCTTGAGTTACATTTCTTTTTCTTCTTTTCCAGGCTTGGGAGACCAAGGTGGAAGATGGCGGTGTCCTGGTGATCACTTGGCAAATGGAAAGGTGGTCAGAAGGGCAGCTCAGCTGCACCCATCTCTGGGCATTGACAGACGGGCCGGTTCTGCTGTTGGGCAAAGTATGAAAGGCCTGTAGTTATCTGATTCATAGCTGGTTTTCCTCCTGCAGTTCATCATCATTGGCCACGTTGGTTGGTGTGATAGGACTTGGTCCTCAATTCTGGAAGACTGCGTATGTATGTAGGTGTGTATGTGCTGAGGTGCATATGCTGCTCCAGTAGGAGATAACTTTGAGGAGCATCATCTCCAAGTTCAGAATACAAATTAAAAAGGACAGTAAGCAAATACACCAACAATATCAAAATATACAACAGTGAGGTATCTGACAACAATCGCTCTGGGCAATTGTCTCCAGGAGGGACAAACCCAGATGATTCCCCAAAGGCCCCCTGAAAAAGTCAGGCCATAATAGGTTTCAGGAATCCTACCAGTGTTTATGGGGAGGTATGGTGGACTGAAGATGGCTCTGTGAAAGCAGAGCTGACAACCGTGGCAAAGACCAAGGAACTGATGAGTAGACCGGTTCCTTGGAACCTCTCCATATAAGGAGATGATGGGAGTTTGCCCACATGTGCTCCAGACAACTGCTCCTTGCAAGGAGTTCGAAGGACAGTGGTTTTCCAAGGGTTTGAGCACCAGGAGACAATAGGATTTACCATCTTGCTCACAACCACAGCAGAGACTTTTAAAGGACACTCAGTTTGCAAACCTCACTTTTTAATCACTTTTGGAAATTGCTCCTTAACTACTTGTAAGCTATTAGAGATCTTCAGAACAACAGACTTGAAAACATTGGGTGAGTCTGCCTTCAACCCTGAACTGAAGAAAATTTTAATCATAAGTTTAAGAATGTAAAGAATCTGAAATAAACAGCAAAAAGCTAAATAAGCTAAATAAGATTTTGATCTTAGAAAGTTATGAACGGGCTAAGGGTCCAAATAAAATTGGAATGTTGAAACTTTCACAATAAGATTTTGGAATTAATTATAAAGAGCTAACAGCTACTCATGAGAAATAGATCCTGTTTTGGTTTTTACAAGACATAACAAAGATAAGCAATTTTGATTTCAAAAACTCGACACTAGACGGGACTAAAGATTTTAGATACAGGAAAAATATACAAGCCTATAAAATGATGCAAAATGTTATAACAATAAAAATACTGAAGGAGACTTTTGAAGAATGAAATCAGAAAATAGTAACCACATTATCAACAATGTCAGTAATGATCTCTGCTGCTATGGAGAGACTATGTTCAAAAGATATTATTGAAGAAATGACAGATGCAGAACAAATTTTATCTGACAAGATAGAGATGGTATTGAAAGTGGACTTACAACTGTCAGGCCAAGAGAATGAATTAGAAAAGGATGCTTCACTGGATCTACAAAAGAAACTGGCTGAGGTTTTAACATTTAAAAGGGAAATACAAATGACAAACCAAGAGAGTGACCTGGTAATTTTTTCCAATTTTGTAAATTGGATTTACAAAAGAGGCTTGTTAAAGCCTTGAAGAACTCTGTGCGATGGGACAAAGAA